TATAAGACCCATGTGCGTAACTGACCCCAAGAACTCACCTTCCTTAAAAGAAATCCCAGCCATCCTGAAATGAATTACTGGTTAACTACTATTAATATGCCATAGAGCTGGAGAGTCGTCTACAACACTGCAAGATCAATAACAGTATTTATCGTACATCATATTGATCTTCTATGAAAGAGTGAGCCATATTTCACACTGTGTACATACTGCAAAAAAAGTAGCATCCGTTCTCTACAGGAATTAGTAAAGACATAGAAAAGCTTAGAGATCCAAGGGCACAACTGCATGAAGGGATCCTGTTGTCTCACTGCAAGAGCATTTCTCACACATGGAGAGCCTCTAATGGCCCTACATTGTAGATTTGGTGTTCCAAAATCTGAGCAAGAATTTAAGCACTCTTTTTTGGTTTGCTTTTATAATTTCTGCTTGCTCTTTTACAGGTTCAGTCCCATATTTTCAATTGTGTCCTGTTTGCAACTTGCAAAGTGTTAAAATCTGTGGCTAGTGGCAGGGCAAAGACCCAGGAGCTCTTTGCAATTTTTCCATGGAGAGGAGGAAGACGGCCAAGGTATGAGCCCAGCTCCTGCAGCAGCACCCCTTGTTTTAAAGGGCACGTGTAGGGGTGGAGTGAGAGCCTTACTGTGCAGAAGCAGTTGCCTTGTTTAGAGCTTATTTCCTCTCAAAAATTGCTCCCCTTAGAGCAGTGAACCTCAGGGCTGCCCCTCATGTGCAGGTGTTGTAATGCAACAAGCTCTGAGACAGGGGAGGACCCTCTCCTTGCCAGCAGAGCTGTTCAGCTGTGGTGAATTACATTTGAGGTAAAAAAAAAAAAAACGCAAAACAAACAGCTGAAAGCTGCTTGCTTAACCTTGGTATCCTCTCTTTCATGGTGGAAAATGCAGCCATGGGTTGACAGCCTCCCATGAGGAGAACACCTTGCTTGTTCAGCAGCTGGAGGCAAAGCTGTGGAAGGTTCAGCCTGTGGGTAGGAGTCAGGAATTACAGGTAGAGGCCAAAAACCAACCAGAGGAACCCCAGTTAGCTAAAGTTTAGTTAGAGCCATTGCTTCCAGTAGATCTGCCCTATTCTGTGCCTGAGGATGCTGCGGCCCAGAAGTAGTGTGGTTGCCCACCAGCTGGCTAGCAGGCTTCAGCTGCAGAGAACCTTCATGGGTAAGGCAAAAACTGCCCTGGGAATACAGTATACATGAAATCTTCTGTGGGCAGATCTCCCAGGTGCCTTGTTTTATCCCCAGGACAGTTTAGCAAGGTTCTTTGGCCTTTTTAGCACTTTGCTGACGGTACCCAGTGCAGGTGTACTGGCTGGTCTGGCCTGCTTTTCTTCCTGAGCTTTCATCGCTCAGGAGAAACGTCAAGACCTTCAGGGCTTTCTCCACAAATAGCAAAACTCTTTCTCGTTAGTGTATTTACAGTTGTATGTATTCTATCTGTGTTGGGTATGTATATTGTATGCATTAGTAGTGGGCAATGACATGATTCAACCAGGCTGGATGGGGTAAGAGCATAGAGCTGGACTGCAGACCTGCTCTTGCCCCGTTATGTGCCAGAGTCACTGAAGACCTGCAAGAGCTCAGCTCTCCAGAGGCATCCTTCCCTCAGGCTGAATGGTTCAAGGCTGGGAGTTGTTTAGAGTTACCTGTGGGGTGCTTTAACCTGGTCTGACCTGACATCTGCCCACAGTCTGAATGGCATGAAGCTGTGTCTTGTATGAGATGTCCCCCTTCTCCCAGGTGAAGCACCACATCTCCTCCAGGTGCTACAGAGAAAGAGCAGAGACTTGTCCCAAAGCATGACATCAAAGAAAATCTCATCTCCTAAATTTGGGGGAAAGTGTAAATTGAAGCATGTGGCAGCTTTCTCCTGCCTTTTGTCAGATGTTGCCAGTCCTTCCATCTTCAGAAACATGTTGTAGCTTGGGATTTAGGGACAATTAACTCTTCTGGCCATCTTTCCAGCACCATCACAGGAGTCCTAGTTCTCTTTGGGGTTCGGTGTGTCTGTCCCTTCACCTGGACTTTTCCCTTTCCCATGACTTCTGTTTTTATTGCTGATCTGCTGGGGCATGTCCCAGTGGGGTGGCCACAGCTAAGAATGGTTGTGTGCCAGGGATGTTACAAGGACCATGGTTTCCATAATTCTGCATTTATGAAAGAAAAATGCCCCAGGTTGCTGATGCCTGGGAATTTATGTGTATGAGTGCATGGGTGACTGAATGAGCAGGTGACTGGCTCTGCAGACTCAATGTTGAGTCTTGAGAGGGCAGCTGATGTTATTGCAAGGGCTGTTGGAGAGCAGAAGGACAGCAGAAGGAAAGCAGAGTACTGTTTTGGTGGATTTGTAACAGGCTAGAGCACTGAACTGCTGGCAGCTGTTGTGCAGCTAAAGGAAAAATGGGTGTCAGCAAGACAACTCTTTTGCAGCTTTGGTGGCCCCAACCACAGGTACGAGGTAGAAAGAGAGAAAAAAGGGACAAAAAGCATTTTTTGTCCACCCACTTAACGCAGCAGAAGACTGCCACTGCTGTTGTTTCTTCAGGAAGGAGCTGCAGCACTACCAGCCCCTGGAACATCACAGAGACATCAAGGGTGCTTGCATGATTTTGTGGATAACTGTGGGCTGGTCTCTGTTGCAGCCTAAGCCCTTCGTGTCCCGTGTTAGGAGGTGCAGTGCCTGAGAGGTTCCAAAAGTTGTAGCAAAACCTGCTACTCCCTGCCTTTCTTCCTTTTAGCTGCTGACGCTTAAGTGTGGCTCACCTTTAGTGTGTAGGTGTAAAGAGGCCCCATCTTCCTGGTGCTAGTATTCTTAGCGGAAAGTATCATCCATTCTTAAGATGCAGTGCAAGTAGAAGACCACTGCAGAGGTTTTAGAAGAAATTGTGCATCTGTGCAGCATAGCATTGCCCTGCCAGAAGTTCTGCAGCTGGTTGCCTTGTGTATCTCTCTATCCCAGCAGGAAACGTGTTGGAGGATTTTGCTTTCTGTTTCTATTTTACAGCATGAAAAGCAGAACAATTGGACTGCAGCTTTATTCGAGACCTAAGTTTGGAGAGGGGAGTCAGGCTTGTGCTGTGATTTATCATAATTGTTGACTTTTCAGTGCCAGTGATCTAAGTTCTGATATTATCAAAGATGTGGACAAAAGGACTTGAAGAGAGGCCTGCACAGAAGCAGAATACTAGCAATAATAAAATTCCATAAAGATACGGAAGTGCAAAACTGTGGAGGGTCTTTTGTGGCATTGCAGACTTCTCTGTTTCATGTGCAAATTTGGGAGGTACTCACAATGAAAAAAGCTAGCTGGCTTGGTTCTTGCTTACATAGGGCTGAGAGGCAGAAAAATCAGATGCAGGAGGCATAATACACTCTATTTGCTAATAAATGGGTATAGTTCATTGATGTCAACAAAATGTCAGCAAGAGCTGAATGGGAGCACAGTGTAATTTAGAGACCTGGAAGGAGACTGTCCATGATTGCAGAGAGCTTTCATTACAGCTGAAGAAGTGAAACGGAACTGCATTGTAAATGGCAATAACTGGTAAAACCGATCATTGGATGTAGTGTGAAGCTAATAGTACAGTGAGAGTTGTTACCATGACTCTGAGAGGCTGGTAAATGCCACCATACTCATTTTGCAAGTAACCAAGGTACAGATATACCAAGAAAAAGACAAAAACAAACTCAGCAATGCCTTCCTGACACCTCTTTTAGGGCTGTTACTTCATACGTGCTGACTGTCCATGCTGTTTCATGTCCATACCGGTAGCCCTTGGGAGCTCATCAGTATGCTTTAAGCCACATTCTTTTCTCCTCCATGGTAGAGTTAGACAACATCATGGGGAAAGCAGGAGCACCGTGTGGAAGGGATCATCATGCTGCAGACACTGTAAGGGTTGGTGCAGGGCAAGGTTATAGAGATGCGAGCTAGAACTAGAGCTGTAGAGATGGTGGGATTTACAGTTGCTCCCTTGTTTTTTATGGAAATGTATATGCACCATGTGGTTAGACTTCCTAAGGTTGTGGCACTCTTTTGCTGTGTCTGGCTTGGCCAGGCAGCTGATGGCAGCGTGTCAGAGAGAGCTTGGCTGTGAAACAGTACTGACAAGCACCCTCCTGAATGAAAACATCCTTGCAGATATCACAAGGCACTGGTCTGGTTGACACTGGAGTGAGGAGAACAGGACTTAAAAACATCCTCTGAGAAGCCCCCTCATCTGAGGGAATGACAGGGGAGGCAGACCTTTGTGGGGACAGCCTGCAGGACGTGCACCTCGCTGGCCTCCAGTCTGGAGGCATTCTGGAGTGCAAGCAGCAAGTCATGAGCAATCCCTTCCTCCTCCTCTTTTGCCAGTGGTGCGAGAGCTTGTTCTGCTCTGTGATTTTGTAGGTAAATGGGAGCTACATTCAGGTATAGATGCTGAGCAAGGATTGAGGGCCTCGCTGCTCAGAGATGGCATGTGGCTGATGGTGCGGAGCTTTCCCTACTGCAGCTTCACTTGACCTTGAGGATGTTTGCCCTTTCTAGAATTATGTTCAGAAAGTGTGCTCTTACCTGCAGGGCATTGGCTAGAGTGGGGTCATCATGTAGCTAGAGCCTTTCTGCTTCCAGGGAGATAAAAGAGACCTGGCACATTGTTACAATATAAAAACAATAGGGCGCTGCATCCTTAGCTGGTGTAAATCATCATCAGATCAACTGATGCTGCTTGGGGACTTGGATCACTGTCTTAACCTGCAGTTGGTTTTGTCTCCTGCTTGCAGTCTGCAGGGTGTGTAGGTAGTGGTCTCAGACTTTGGGTGTCTGTCAGTCCTCTTGAGTTTCCACCAAACATCCAGCCACGTTTCCCTTTCAGCTCCCATCTCTTCCTATTTACTACACTCTGTCCAGCCTTCAGGAGAAGTAGTAGTTCATCAGCAGGTGAATGGTAGTGGTCTTCATGGAGCCTCCTGTTTCATAATAGCCTGTTTTTTTCTTTTCCAGAGGGACGGATGCTCATTCAGGACATCCCTTCCATCCCCAGCAGAGGGCACTTGGAGAGCACGTCTGATTTGGTTGTGGACTCCACCTACTACAGCAGTTTTTACCAGCCACCCCTGTATCCTTACTATAACAACCTGTACAACTACTCCCAGTACCAAATGGCAGTGGCCGCTGAGCCTTCCTCAAGTGAGACGGGGGGTACGATTGTAGGGTCGGCCATGAAAAACAGTCTTCGAAACCTCCCAGCAACATACATGCCAAGCCAGTCAGGAAAACAGTGGCAGGTATGATGTTACTGAGGTGGACAGTAAGTTGTTTCTTGAGCCTGATTGTGACCTTCTGTTTGCTGGTTCCTGGGCAGTGCAAAACCAGAACCAGATACCAGGGTGGGATTAGGACCCATGTTAGGAAAGTTAGCCAAAATGGGTGGTTATGATGCAGCCCAATGAAAGCAATGATACAGGTATAGGTAGGTTGCTGCAAGCACGGATAAAGGGCACCCACTTGATTTTGTCTTCTGAGTTATGTCATAGTAGATTATGGGCTGTTTTCTGGAAACATAGTCCTACTGAATTACCCAACATAGCATCCTGGGAGCTTCAGGTGTCATTTCTGAGAGGCTTTGCTCTTCAGGGGCCTGTTCTTTTCTCTTCCATCTTCTATATCCAAGGCACTGGAGTGACCCAGGAGACCATGCAGTTGCACAGTGTGTTGGTGACAGTCAGTTGAATGTGACATGGCATGTTGCTAATCATGTGTTCTGGCAGTGTCAGCTCCAGGGCTTGTGATTTGGACTTGGACAGTTCAGGTTACAGTCTGTGCCTGAGAGGTTCACACCAGAGCTCTGTCTACTTGGGGTATAGTCAACCGAGTCCTCTCACTCTAGGACTTGATAATTGTAGCTTCCAACTCAGTACCAGTCAGAGACTGGAAAAAGGGGAAGTATGCTAAGACAGGAGATTCTTGGCAAAGTAGGCGGAGCCATTTCAGTGACCCTGAGGCTGTTTGGTCTTGGGCTGCAGTAGTGCTTTTCTGTCTTAGATTGAAGTCGGGAGGCTACACCCTCTGAGTGTATACGCCTGTATCCCTTGTCTGAGGGCAGGAGAGGGCAGACATCTTCTGTAGAGCATCAAAAGAGGGCATGCTGCCTTCTGCAAAGGCTCTGTTTTGAAACCACTCAACAATGAAAGATTAAATGTTCACCAGAACCTCCTTTTAGAAGGGAACAGATGGGTTGTGCTCATTTGCTGACAGAGAATTCCTCTAGCAGTTCTGGCACAGGGACCAACTCTGAAAGTGCATTTTAACTTCTGATACCAAAGAGCTGAACAAAGACCAGGGTGATTACAGTTACTGTAGCAGTCCACATCACCTTCAGTGAGGCTTTCATATCATTAGACACTTTTTTCATGGGAAAGTCCTTCTGAAAATGCAGGGGGCTCCTGGGGCAGCAGCTGGTAGGTCATGGCTTTACAGCCGTCTGCATTTAGTACTATTCCATGTCCCATTTTTGCCATGAGTACGGGTGTATGGTGAAAAGAGCTGTCTGCCTTCCTTCTGCTATGTGACCCCACACCATGAGAGCTTTCTTCTCTCGGTGTGTGTTGATAGGTTTTGCTGCAATCACCTTCAAATATGTGGAGGTACACCTTTTCAGTTAGGTTAGTTGATACCATCCTGTCTATCTGCTGACTTTGATCACCAGACCAGGGGGAGAATTAATTGAGGCAAGCTGGAGATAGGATTTTGTTCATGGTAATGAGATCAGGTGCCAGTCCCTTTTTAACTTTTTCATTTTGGTTCATTGGGTTAACCTGGCACGTCATTGCAGAGTATTTTAGATAAGAAGTTACTTCTTCTGAAGCTATTATAGCACCTAGCTTGTAAGAGCCTACTGCAGAGCTGGTGCTTGGAGGCACCATCACAACACAAGTGAGGGGCAGCAATATATTCATCTTGTAAAAATAGTGTTCTTGCAGGCTCCTAGTCCCACACTTCACCATTCCTCCAGCCAGTAGAGACTTCCGTGATTTTACTTGCTTGGGAAAAAGGAAAGTAAATTACCAGTACTGACTATTGTAGCACATGGTGCTTGAGGAGGAGATACATGAGGGTACATTAAAATGTGTTAAACCTTGGAATGAAGGTTTGTCATCATGTCCTGTCATTTGAAACTGGACTGTATGTTTAAGAACTCTTGGCCAAGGGAGTCCATTGTCTGTTGCCTCTTTCTTGTGGGACTTTTGACATCCCTTAAAAGCAATAGTGTGTTGTCCATGCATTTTTCTCTTGGGGCCCTGCAGAATCTGTAACTAACTGTTGCTTAAGTGCTACTCAGATTAGTGGGATACCTAAGAGGTGATTAAAGAAAAAAGAGCTGGTGGTTGTGAAAAAGGACTGTTTTCCTTCCACCAGCAGGCTCCAAGTGCTGGGTGTTCTTTCACACCTTGTGCAATGTACTGTATGGTTCCATTCACCTCCATGTGAATTTAGTGATTTACCTCACCTAAGATTTTCATTTCTCCTGGCTAAACCTTTTGGGATTTCTCAGTGCAGTTCTGGTGAGGTGTCTGTGCAGAGAGACTAGAGGTAGTGCTTTCTGCCTGAGGAACTGACATCTCCCCAGCTTCTAAGTGGCCTAAACCCACGACCCACTTCTCCTGTTCAGTAGGGCAGAGTGTAGTTCAAGGTCAGTGTCATGTAACTTTCAAGCTATTTCTCAGAGGCTGATCTGCAAGAAGGATTGTTATTGCTGGAAGAGTTACGAATCATGGGGTTATGACAGCATAACATTGCACAAATAATCATAAAAAGTTTTAGCGAGAGCTAAGCTAGATAATGCTTGATAGCAGTGGGTGCAGTGGTGCCTAGGTTGTAAAACACTGTGTGGCAGTGAAGATGGTTTGTTGTAAGGGGAACGAGCTCTCAGCTGCTGCATGTGGTTAAACATTGGTTCTGTGCGTGAAAGGTTATCAGCAGGGGAAGATCACAGAAATACAGTGTTAAATGTAGAAATATGAATCAGTTTCTCAGTCAAGCACAGTAAGGAGTTACAGGAGAGTTTCAAAGCATGATTTGGAAAGAGGAATCAAACCTTGCTTATACCTTCACGGGGTTTTGCTGACAAACCTTTGCAGGCTGATTCTCTCCAAAGGATACACATAGCTGTATCTACACAGGGATTTTTACTGGACTGCCTGTACTGACTGGGTTTATTTTTTACATGCACAGGTTTCTTAACCAGTCTTCCAGTACAAGTGAGTCTGCTCATGTGACTGGTAGTGATATAACAGTTTTGATCAAAGTTGTTGATTTTTGCTTCTTTACCAAAGCGATAGCTGTGCAATGCCTGCGGTGACCAAATCAGGGCAGCTTGCTAAGCTGTGAGCCCACAGGAGGGTTTCTTTCTTGGTGTAAACCACCCATACGCTCAGTGGAAGGTACCCTAGTTTAAGCAGCGTAGACAAGACCCCTGCCTTTTCCAGGCTTACTTGATGGAGGCTCACTTGTCCTGGAATAACTGTAACAACACAAGGAGAATTGCATACTTAAAGTAAGATAACTTCTGGATGCAGACAAGGCCTTGAGCAGCCCAGCTGCCTGCTGTTTCAGAATTTAGGGAGCAAGGGAGAAAAGCCAGGGAGGAAATGTGTGAGTGTGTGTGGGATGGGATGAGAATTAATGCATCATTGAGCCTTGGCAAATAAACTGAATCACTGAATCTTTAATGTAGATTAATGTCAGATTTCATTAGTCTTTGTTCTTTGCAGAGGCTCCTCTACTTGAGTGGATTCACAGAGGTGCACATTTTTTAGATATTTCTGTGTAGGTTTTGTTCATTTGTATATAATTATCCTAGAAGCTGTATCCATCATGATTTGAAAAGCATAATGAAGATTGGTCAAGACCCCTTCAGTCATTTATATTCTGCTGCTTTTGCCAGCTCTGAGGCAGATAATCAGATATGTCTGGTTTTGTACCTGAAGGAAAGACAAGCTTAGGTCAGAGAGGAAATGTAGCAGTTGTGGTGGTTACTGTGCATCTCCTTTCATTCTGGTTCTGTGTGAGCATCTGGACCGTCCCTTGAGCCTCTCATAATTGTTCATTACAACAGGAACTTATGTGCATTCAAGCCAATTATCAAGTTAAATGAGTTCACCAGCATTAATACCGCAAGTCAGAGTATATTGGTATACAGTGGAAGTTGGTGCTTCTGAAACCAGTCTCACTGCGCCCCATTTAGCAACTGGAAAATGATGGGGTGACTACAGACTTTTCTACCACAGCAGAAGTAAAACCTGGATGGACACGTCCAAATCTAATGAGGTTTAATTCTCCAGGCTGGCAATGAAACTGCTGGCATGTGACCCACAACATAAGGATAATCGGGACTCCCCATGAGTCGGTGTCTTCCCCAAAAACTGTTAAAACTTCTGGTTTCTACAGCCAGACCATTACAGATCTGCAAGGTGCAGAATGTGACCCCGTACTTACGGACCAGTGGCTGCATTTTCTTTGATACTCTGGTAACTCCAGAGATCCTGCTTCAGAGAAAGGTTAAGGCTAGCTGTTAGGTTTTGGACAAATTTCAGAATTTAATGTAATTTATGTTTTATGTTCTGAAGTGGTTTTATTTCCCTTCTTCCCTTCCCTTCCCTTCCCTTCCCTTCCCTTCCCTTCCCTTCCCTTCCCTTCCCTTCCCTTCCCTTCCCTTCCCTTCCCTTCCCTTCCCTTCCCTTCCCTTCCCTTCCCTTCCCTTCCCTTCCCTTCCCTTCCCTTCCCTTCCCTTCCCTTCCCTTCCCTTCCCTTCCCTTCCCTTCCCTTCCCTTCCCTTCCCTTCCCTTCCCTTCCCTTCCCTTCCCTTCCCTTCCCTTCCCTTCCCTTCCCTTCCCTTCCCTTCCCTTCCCTTCCCTTCCCTTCCCTTCCCTTCCCTTCCCTTCCCTTCCCTTCCCTTCCCTTCCCTTCCCTTCCCTTCCCTTCCCTTCCCTTCCCTTCCCTTCCCTTCCCTTCCCTTCCCTTCCCTTCCCTTCCCTTCCCTTCCCTTCCCTTCCCTTCCCTTCCCTTCCCTTCCCTTCCCTTCCCTTCCCTTCCCTTCCCTTCCCTTCCTTCTTTTTTAAATTAACACAGCTTGGCAAACCAGTATTCTTACTTCCAAAAATTCAACTTTTTTGTCCTTAAACCACTTTAGAGCAAAACTCTGAAGTAAGTATTGGTGAGAGTCAGACTGAGAATTTTAAACTCATTTTCTAGTGTGACAATTACATTTACCATTTGGTAGTGAAAT